GAAGGCGATCAGATACCGCCCTAGTTCTAACCATAAACGATGCCAACTAGCGATCCGCCGGCGTTATTCCCATGACCCGGCGGGCAGCTTCCGGGAAACCAAAGTCTTTGGGTTCCGGGGGAAGTATGGTTGCAAAGCTGAAACTTAAAGGAATTGACGGAAGGGCACCACTAGGAGTGGAGCCTGCGGCTTAATTTGACTCAACACGGGAAACCTCACCAGGCCCAGACACCGGAAGGATTGACAGATTGAGAGCTCTTTCTCGATTCGGTGGGTGGTGCATGGCCGTTCTTAGTTGGTGGAGCGATTTGTCTGGTTAATTCCGATAACGAACGAGACTCTGGCCTACTAAGTAGTCGACGGATCTCCAGAAAATGGTGTCCAGTTCGCAACTTCTTCTTAGAGGGATAAGCGGCAATTCTAGCCGCACGAGATTGAGCAATAACAGGTCTGTGATGCCCTTAGATGTTCTGCCGCGACGCCAGCTACACTGAAGGGATCAACGAGTTTTCCTCCGAGGAGCGGGTAACCCGTTAAAGTTTCCTGATAGGGATTGGGGCTTGCAATTGTTTCCTCATGAACAGGAATTCCCAGTAAGTGCAAGTCATCAGCTTGCGCTGACTACGCCCCTGCCCTTTGTACACACCGCCCGTCGCTACTACCGATTGAATGATTTAGTGAGGCCTTCGGACTGGCGCTCTTGGATTGTCGGCCCCGTTGCCCGCGAGGGTTTTCTGGGGTCGTCGCCTCGAGCTGACGGAAAGATGTCCAAACTTGATCATTTAGAGGAAGTAAAAGTCGTAACAAGGTTTCCGTAGGTGAACCTGCGGAAGGATCATTAACAGAGAGAAAGAGAACGGGGCGCTCTTAAAACTAATACTACTACTCTCCTGATTTGGGCGGTCTCGGGCTCTGCTCTGGCAACTCCAGCAGCGAAAGAGGACAATCCCGGCCCCCGCACCAAAAATAGGTACCACCACGCTGTAGGTGGACCACACTCGGGCGAGAGCGCGAAGACCGGAGGAGGAGGACGGACGGGGCTTTGGACGGCTGCCCGTCCGTTCCTTACTACCGGCGAATAAGCCTCTTGACCCAAAAAGAGTGAAATTCAAGTGTCAAAAAACAACAACAAGCTGTCCGGCCAAACCCAAACCACAAACTTGGGCTATGTCTGTCAAACCCTTTCATTGAGACTCGACCTGTGATGGTTAGTCGCAAAAAGACCAAATGGCAAATACACAACTCTTAACGGGGGATCACCGCTCGTGGGTCGATGAAGACCGCGAGCAAACTGCGTGTCGGGTATGTGAATCGCTAAGAATACCAGATACATCGACAAGTTGAACGCATACGCGCGGCGGCAGCCAGGCGGCGAGCTTTTTGTCGCCGCCACCTCTACGCAGGGTCGGAAATATACATCCATCGCTGCCGCGAAGTTCGGTGCCTGCCGACTGTCTCCCCGACACGCAGGGTAACTCCGAACCGAGCTCTGCCTTTGCTGACCGCTCACGCTTCTGCGCTGAGGCGTGTGCCCTTAAAAACAAGCAAGCCTATCACTAGCAAGTCCATGGACTTGGCTACACTCCACATTCAACCACAACAGTGCTTATTGGTGCTGTCGCCTCGAAATAACTGGAGGCGGCGCTCTTTTGCCTGCTGTCCACAGAGACACGAATGGCCGTCGGCCGCTCATGGCTGATGCTGCACATGTTCTAAGAGGCACTCCATCCCACGAAGAGGAAACGAAACCGGGTCGGATATCTTTTAAGTAAGCCCCGCTGGAATTTCGTCTATCACCTCGAAAAGAGTGCTTGGCATGCATTGCAGTGGAACCTAAATTGATGAGTGCGCCTGGGCCCGCAGTCTACCATGTAGTGGTGCAGGCAGAGAGATGAGAATGCTTGGGTGACGCCGTGCTCTTCCTCACGCGCTCCTCCACCCTCTCCCACGGTCAGACGCGGTGTGGGCGTTCTCTTTGAGAGTTCGCCACGAGTCCACGCCTATCTCATGACTGGGAGGGAGGCAGGGGGAGTTCTCTCTAAACGCGTTAAAGACGGTGTTGCGCCTCATAACGGCGCTCGCCGGGATAGAGCACTAGTTCTGCAGCCGGAAAGGCCGCTCACGCCAATTAATACTGTGACTCTCGCTCTCTTTCTCCGGATAAACAAGTGCCACTGCTGTGGCATGCGGGAACGGGGAAAGAGGTCAAAGTTTAAGCGGCAAAGGTGCGGCCGAGTAAGGGCGGAACACGAGCGTATATGCATTAAAACTGTGTGTGTATATGACTCTGCGAGAGATGTTCTGCTGGAACACTTTTCCTATTGGCTATTTACCACTCAATGAGAAGGAACGGAGTCAGGGGTGGGAGTGCCGGCGCCATGGCCGCTGGCACCCCCGCGACAAGCCCCTCAAACCTTCCTGCCTGGTAATGTCGGTGGTGAAGAAAGTCGGTGGCAGAGCGTCTTCCGCTTCGTGGTTGGGGAACTTGTTCCCCCTAAGGATGATGAGACCACGATCGACCTCGTAGTAGGAGAGAGCTACCCGCCAAATTTAAGCATATTAATAAGCGGAGGAAAAGAAACCAACAGGGATTCCCTTAGTAAGGGCGACTGAACCGGGAAAAGCCCAGCGCATAACCTCGATGTCTTCGGGCACGAGGGGTGTTGCGTTTCAGAGGGTCCAGCACGCCGGCCCATACCGTCTAAGTCAAGCTTGAAAGCGGCCACTGCCCATGGAGGGTGACAGGCCCGTATGGCGGCGCCCGTGAGGGTACAGATGGGACGGTCGGAAAGGGCCTCTCTGTAGAGTCGGGTTGCTTGAAAGTGCAGCCCAAAGCAGGTGGTAAACTCCATCTAAGGCTAAATATGACCACGAGACCGATAGCGAACAAAGTACCGTGAGGGAAAGTTGAAAAGAACTTGAAGAGAGAGTTCAAGAGTACGGAAACCGTTAAGAGCCAAACGGTGGAAACTCGAAGGTCGAACTGAGGGGATTCAGCTCGTCGGCTGTCGGCTGGGTGGGTGTTGTAATTGAGCGACCCAAAATGTTTGGCGCGCCCCCACGCTGGCGTCGGCGGGCGTATTTCGCCTCGTAGTAGGTCACCGCGACCCGTTGCCGGGGACGTCGAAGGCCCGGTCGGACTGGTACCTCGCCGCCGACTCTCTCAGCTCGTCTGGGGAGACCGCGCGACGGGGAACCACCGGTGTCCTGGCTGCCCTGACGGTCGTCGAGAGCTTGCCGCTTCGGCGGCGGTTTTGCTCGCGGTGTGCAAAAGGTCGGTGATCCACCCGACCCGTCTTGAAACACGGACCAAGGAGTCTAACATGTGCAAGTCAATGGGCTCACTAAACCCAAAGGCGAAATGAAAGTGACGGGCGCCCGGGCAGCTGTAACAGGCTCTCCGGTGCGTCTTGGGCCGATCCTGACCGGCTGCCTGGCCTCGCCCACGCCGCGACAAGCGGGTGAGATACTTTCCGTCTCTGGACGTTGCGTGGTGGAGGTCGTCAGGGCGATGGTCGAAGTTTAATTTCCCTCATGGGAGGGGGCGAGGGACTTGCAAGACGCCGCTGTCCGTCCCCGGAAGCGGGCCGTCGGTAAACGGCGGAGGCGCACTGGGGCAGGCTCGCGGGCAGTCGGCAAGTACCATGAGCATATATGTTGGGACCCGAAAGATGGTGAACTATGCCTGGCCAGGATGAAGCCAGAGGAAACTCTGGTGGAGGTCCGTAGCGATTCTGACGTGCAAATCGATCGTCGGAGCTGGGTATAGGGGCGAAAGACTAATCGAATCATCTAGTAGCTGGTTCCCTCCGAAGTTTCCCTCAGGATAGCTGGAACTCGCAGGGTGAATTTCATCCGGTAAAGCGAATGATTAGAGGTCTTGGGGACGAAACGTCCTCAACCTATTCTCAAACTTAAAATGGGTGAGATGCCGAGCTTGCTTGTAGGGATGAAGCTCCGGCGACTAATCTGAGTATCTAGTGGGCCACTTTTGGTAAGCAGAACTGGCGCTGTGGGATGAACCAAACGTCGAGTTAAGGGGCCTAAATGAATGCTCATTCAGATCCCATTGAAAGGCGTTGGTTGCTATAGACAGCAGGACGGTGGCCATGGAAGTTGGAATCCGCTAAGGAGTGTGTAATAACTCACCTGCCGAAGCAAC